CTGGACAAAGAAATGATTCACTTCCCAAGTGGGATGGAGCGGGATGGCAAGAGATTTCATTATGCTACTCAGAACAGCATGCAATTTAAAACTTATGAGTTGTTTACTTCTGGAATTTTCCATTTAATATTTTAGGATGACAGTTGACCCTGGGTAACTGAAACTGCTTGGAAAGCAAAACCATGGATAAAGGGAACTACCGTATGTCTTAGTGATTGGACTGAATATATATTATTTTGACCCCAGTACATGACCTAGAAGTTAGCTGTTCTTGTACAAAAGTCCCAATGCCAGCTTAGTGTCTGATACTGTTTCCTTGTAGAGTCAAGGACAGAGGTGGGGTAATTCAGTTAATTGAAACAGAACCTTCAAGTGAAATTTCATTGTTAATAGGAAACATGTGTCCCTTCTTTCCACAAAACTGTTTATTGATTAATGTGATCAGTAGAATGGGAATTAAAAGCGTTTTCAAATGGATGATGGTTTCTGTACTGAACCTAACCTGGTACTGGACATGGAGGGGTTCACTGATAGCAGTTATAAGATATTAGTTTAAATTTTTATTTCTGTAGATTCTATGCTTCACGTAAGTACAAGTTTCTGTATGTGGAAAGAGAGGAGAGAAACTGAGATGTTCATTTAGCCATACCTATGTCGCATTTAGACAGCACATCAGCATGGACAAGAGAAAGGTAGGATGATGCAGTCCATTTCACCACAGCCCAGTAGCTATAGCTTTGATGTTACATGTCTAGTCTCAGTAAATTTTTTTTTAGCAGTAAACTGTCCATTTTAGGGAAATTGACCCTATATGATTGCTTTCTGACGTAGGGATTCATGGCTATATAGACTACCTCAGTAGGCACACACTTAAAATTATTTTTACAGTTTACATTAAAAAATTTGTAAAACTAGCTGACATGAATAGCTTTTTGAAAATCAAATTGTGGTGTGTGCTTATCAGTGAGTAGTAGAATAAATATAAGTGAATATATAAATATATTTAGGATATATGTGCACTTACATAATTCTAAAGTTAATTTCATCTACTCCTTGGATCTTCTAAAGGTGTATATACATTTCTACAAAATTCAAAACAAATTAGAATACAAACTCCCCAGAGAAGAAAAGAACTAAGTGCTATAAGAAACTAGAAAGAGCACACAGGATTAATGTGCACTAGTATTAAAACTACAGATCCAAGCTACTTAAACTGTATACACAATAACCTGCCCCTTTAAATTAGAGGAATTTCTTTGAATAGGACCAGACAGTAGCAAGTGTACATCATCTGTAACATGTCTGGCGTAATTATTGAAGTCTCTTTCCTTTGCTAAAAGAAAAAAAAAGTCACCAGCGATGAATATGTTTGCTTCTATAACAAACTTTTCCCAATAAGTGACAATTTTTTTTTCATTCTAGCTGTTGTGGAATTGTAATGGGAGTAGATGTGTAATTTAACAGATTAAAAAAAGTCCAATAGTTTTACAAACATCTGAAATTACTTGGAGAAATAAAATTCAGAGTATATATCAAATACTTCATACAAAAAGACTGTACAAAAATCATGGACTTTATTATACATTAAAAAATCTTCTAACAGCATATTTCCTGAAGCTTGTCAGCAAATACTTATTTTGACAAAATGAAAAAATAAGTTTTCCGCCCCACATGTATACCATGATCACATAAAATTGAGTTCTTTGAATCCAATTCTAAAGCAAAATGTTGCATGATTTTTAATTGTACATTGCATGATTAATAGTATCAGTGAAATAAGCATTAACCAATTCACTTACATTACAAAATCACCAAATATACAAAGCAATTTTGCACATTAGTTATAACTTAATCCCTAGTTCTTGTATTAACTGAAGTAAATTACATATGAGTGCAGCCACAAGAGATGGGTTAAAAAGTATAATATAGTTCCAGTTTCAAATCTTTATGCATTATTAATTAATGTAGGAGAACAAAATTTCATGAAAGAGTAAATCAAACTTGCTAAAAATAAAATGAAGGGCTTGCTCGCTAGAATTGGTGTGTTTAAATATTTAAAATACATTCTGAATGCTAGGAGGTTGTTGTCAAAACCAACATTAATATTTTCATTTTATTTAGGTGGCAGAAGCTTTTGCAATATACTAGCTCTTAGGGTCTGTCAGCATGTCTAGTAAGATTCAAATTTTAAATACTGTGGTTCCTAGATATAACACAAAATTAACCCAGATGCCTTTACCACATAAGAGGTTATGGTACCTAGGATGCACATCTTACCGTCCTTTTCCCAAGCATAACGTGGAGCCGGAGGATTCTTTTGAAATTAAACACACAGTAATCACTGTAGATGTGGCAAAAACTATACTAGCTTTGGGGACTCTGTTCGAGGTAACAGTTTCAGTCTCTTGTTAGCAATTTTCAAAAGTTTTAAAGGAGGAAGGAGTAACTGCTTTCCTACCAACTGACTTCATTACCATAGTTACAAAAGTACTGTTCATATAGGTAGCAGAATGCATAACAGAATTAGGTAGGCTTAATTTCTTCTTTTAAAAAAACTCTTTGTTAATTTCTAAAAACCGTTAAGTGTAAATTTCAATCTGAGAAAAGATATCCCCAAATCTAATCTAATCACCATCAAAATATCCCAGAGCTAGAAGAGATTTCAAAGGAGGATAACAAGATCACGTTTAACATTAGACAGAAACCCATGGGCAGCCTTCTTTAACAACAGGAAGAGCTTATTAAAGTTGATACTTAAATATCTGCAGTAATGAAATAGTTCATATAGTTCAATTGTAATACAACAAAAGTTGAATTGTTAAAATCCACTCATGACTTCTTTTGGGCATTGGAATGCATTTTGGTCTGACCCACAGACATGGAGACATGGGTATGTTATCATGGAAATTCCTAAGGAAACATGACTTAAAAGAACTACAAGTCTGCCCAGCATCCCTAAGTCTGCCAGTACCCTTAACTCTAAGCCTACACTTTGACCCAGAGTGCTAATAAAGGGCAGCACTTTGCTACCATGCAAAGCACAGTCAAAATGCCTCCTAATGATGACCACCTTCCTTACAGGGCAACAGATTTTTTTTTTTTTTTTTGAGACAGCGTCTCACTTTGTTGCCCGGGCTAGAGTGCCATGGCATCAGCCTAGCTCACAGCAACCTCAAACTCCTGGGCTCAAGCAATCCTACTGCCTCAGCCTCCCGAGTAGCTGGGACTACAGGCATGCACCACCATGCCTGGCTAATTTTTTCTATATATTTTTAGCTGTCCAATTAATTTCTTTCTATTTTTGGTAGAGACGGGGTCTCACTCTTGCTCAGGCTGGTCTCTAACTCCTGAGCTCAAACAATCCGCCCGCCTCGGCCTCCCAGAGTGCTAGGATTACAGGCATGAGCCACCTCGCCCGGCCTAGGGCAACAGATTTTATCTGAACTCAGTGAGGTGACAACTTGTATACACAAAAGAGTTAGTGAAACAGAAAGCTTACCAATCTCAAAAAGGTCTTACAAGCAGGACTTGCCATGACTAATTAAGTGCTGACAACAGAAGAAATTCCAACTTCAACAAAAGGAATGATACACTGTTGTGAAAGCATTCCCTTTGGTAAGGACAAAATAAAGTATTTCATAAATTTCTACTTTTTTACTATATATTTTGGTAACATAAGGCATCAAAGAGTATTAAATAATCATTATTTCCATTTGGCACATGGATAAAAAGAATATCATGATCCTATATATAATTATCTATCCCATTCCTACAGAAAACAATGTACATACACAGTGTGAAACTAAGAAGAAACTAAGAAGAACTAAGAAGAAAAAACTGTATATCAAAGTTTCCCTTGTGAAATTAGTTTTAGTGGCTAATCTCTTGAAAATTTATAAATGTATGACTACGTAAAATACTTTACTCAATATATTTAACTTGTATATATAGATACCTTTTCATGTGAAACGCATAAACGTAATTTCTATCAGTAATGTTAAAAATGTGATTAAAGAAAAAGAAATCAAGATTCGACATAGAAGATAGACAGTATAGAAATATTTTAACCTTGGCACCAGGCTAAAATCCTTTGTTGGTCAACTTCTCCTACACTGTACCAGGCATTCAGTTTCTTTTCAATCTTTCATGGAATTGGAGCTGTTACTCATTTAAAGAGTTAGAAGTACTTAGAATAATTAGTGCAAATTACTCTATTCTCATACATTAGTTATTTGCCTTTGTGGATATAAAGTGGTGATTCAGTACTTTATCAAAACATGGAATTATGAAAATACTGGGAATATCAGTCTGAAATTTAAAAGATTACATTTGCTAAACTCTGAGAATTTTTACTTTAAGCATGAAACATAATTGTCATAGAATTTCTTCTGAAATGTCACTTGATTTTCAATAAAAACTATTTCACATAATGTGGAAAATACAATGTATCATCCTGTTACAACATCCTTACACATCAATCCTAATCTAAAATGTATCTGAACACAAAAAATCTTTTAATAAATTCCAAAATCTTATTTTTAACCATTACTGCTCTGCAGCAATAATTGAAGTCCCAACCTGAGAACTAAGAGTGTGATAATAAAATGCCAAGGCTGTATCAATCTTGAACTGAATACACTTCAGCGTCTTTCCTACTAGCATCAGGTGTAGTACATCAGAGAAATGTGAGTAATCTAAGAAAGTGCCCTGAAATCCACAGTACCACCTGCCACAATTTGAAACCTTAAGTGTAAAATCTCTGTTCTAATTATTTTATAAAAGTTCTATTGCACATTTAATATTGTTAAAATATCTGCAAACCTGTAGAATTCTCTGTATAAAGGGTTTTAAACTTATTCAGCTGAATGCTTCCTCATTGCCAACAAAACGTTCCTACTGAAAGAGAGCATATCCATGAACATCTGAGCCTGAAGAATAAATAATTTATGGTCACAGCCAATTACAATGCAAGATAAAAAGTTCACAGTTTGAAGAAAAAAAAATGCTTGAGCAAATGTAACTCCTCAGCAATCTACTGCAGAGATGAGCAGGTTTCTTTTAGACATGTGGAATTTAATGTTAATGCATAGTATATTATGTTTAAGGGGGAAAAAAAATCAATGCAAACCTAAGTCATCAAGTTCAGTCTTATTTTTTAAAAGGAAGCTAAAACAAGTAAATATAAAGCTTAGTCTCCTCCTTGATATTTCAACATAGTTGTTACCTTATGCCATTTCACCACAGAAATTGTCAAATTCCAAGGGGGGAAATATGAATCAAAAAGCAAAGATAAGTTTATGCTTCTGATTCTCTCTTCTTTCCTTCTTCTCCCAAATCACTCTCTTCTGACTGGCTACTGCTAAGGACAACAAACTGCCCCTCACTACTAGCTTGGTTTGGTCTACTGGAAGCAGCTATCAACCGACTTTGTTCTTCCAAGTCCTAGTGGAAAAGACAGAAAAGAAACTAGGTTAATTGTCTGCAGTCAAATGGAAAACTATGCAGTTAAAATACATACTTGAGAGCCACTTCAATCCTTCTGTCACAAATACAGATTCATAATTTTGATGAAAAGAAAGGCCACATCCAATGTAACACCAAAGTGAATTTTGGTGCCATTCTGGAAATCCTACAAAAGCCAACATTCAAACTAAAAATCTCTGGAGTGTTTTCCTTTTTCTTTTTTATGGCTAACAACCAAATCCAGGCCATCATCATCTCTCACTATACACTACAGTAAAAGCCTCATAAGGGATCACCCCACACCCTTTCCTTTCCCCCTCTGAGGACTCTTCCCCATTCCTGTCCAGTTCATCTTGCTAAATCAGGTGTCACCTTTCCTCAGTCCACCTGAGCCTATCAACAAAGCCTGACTTCAGTGTCATCTTTGCCACTTTCCTCTTCTTTGTCCACATATCCAATTGATTGCCAATTCTTACTAATCTAAGTTACCCACAACTGTCTTCTCTTTTCTATTCTTACTGTCAATGCCACAATCCGTAACAGACTCTTTTTTTTTTTTTTTGAGACAGAGTCTCACTCTGTTGCCTGGGCTAGAGTGCCGTGGCGTCAGCCTAGATCACAGCAACCTCAAACTCCTGGGCTGAAGCAATCCTTCTGCCTCAGCCTCCCGAGTAGCTGGGACTACAGGCATGCG